CTGTATCGCAAACGAACGTTTCAGAGACACTGGAAAGTGCGGACATCAGAGACTAACCAATAAGAGAACGGAGGGTTCTGTTCGGCGTCCCAGAGACGGGGGAACGGGAACTTGCGGTGGAAGCGGCGTTCGGCCTTCGACTCATCATCCACGCTATCAAAGCCAATGACCCGTTGGAGGAAAACATGGAGTTCGGGATGTGATGACGGATCTTTCGTAACCTCAAACAATGGCCGGAATACATCTGAGGAATGATTCAAACTGGCTAGCACGAAACAGAGAGGCAGTAACTTACTAACAACAACGTCCTCGAAAGTTTTGACGACGCCATTCTCTTTGTATACATGGTACAGCCGCGGCACTTGAATGAGCCAGCGAACATTATGCGAGAACAGCTTGTTGTCGACGACCCATTTCGCAACCTTGTCCCACTCATCCACGGATCTCCCATATATACTGACTCTCCACTCACAATTCTAACATAGCTCAACAGTGAAGTTACGTAGGATTCGTATGCGCTTACCTGATATTTGCTCTGTTCCAAATCCGTCATCACCTCTGTAAAGCATTTCGTGATCTATATCAATCGCATAGGAAAAATGCGCACCTCGTGTAAGTTCAGCGAAGTACCTTCCGTCGATACGATTGTCAATCTTCAAGAAGATCTCTCGAAGCCTGGATTCCCCGATCGGATTGTATTTCAGATTAAACTTGTCAAATCGGTGGAACGAGTCTTGGTGAGCGTGCATGTCAAGCGTGTCGATGGAGAGGTCGTATGCGCTCAGCTTGAGTGACTGGAACACTTGTTCAAGGGTCAACTCGGCCCCGTCACGGAAGATGACAACGTCCTGAGGGGGTCAGGTATTGGCTGAAAATTTGAGATGACAAGACGTACATGTGAACTACGTTTCATCTTTGATTTGATGAATCGCAGAAGGTGCTTCTGGTTCATGCAGCTTGCAAGGTGGACATGTGTATCCACTTTACGGACATTGTAGAAATCTCTATAAGGATTTAACTGTCAGGGGTATTTAGGGGGGTGGCAACATGGGTCAGACCTGTGAGGTACGCTCTGAAATTATGAGGTGAGCAGGGGATTATGTGATCGAACAAAATTGCGAACTTTCATGGCCGCCAGTTCCTGAGGCTCATTGAGTAGAGTGTACATCTCAAATTTACTCGCAAGATATTTCAATCTTCGGTAAGCGATGCTTTTCGCAGGACCGTCAGAAATGACCTCGAGAACGTAATCAAGATCAACGAAGTATTCCTTGATAGACGGGATGTCAAAGAGCGGCGTTTGATCTTAGATTTATCAGTCCTTATCAGATACCATTGTAACTCGTGGATGAAGGTGGTCGCACCTTCAGCGGTCGAATAAACCTGGTATACTCCCTTGTCATCAAGGGCAAAGTTCCATGACTGTGGTCCTGGTATTTGACATTTTGAAAAATCGAACTCGTCGTCCTGTGGTGTGACACCCCCGTCAGAAGTAACCACATTTTGTTTCGCGGTGAAGTGCCAATGCGGAGGTGGAGGCTTGGGGTAAATACACCAGGGTTGGTAGGGGCTCTCAGTAACCTTGACTTTGGCGAAGTTAGCGTTCGGCGTGACCCCAGAGACATCCGCAAATCCTTCAGCTATGCCGTTGAAGTGACCATCGTGATCTCTGGGATTATCTCCGAGCCTCTGGAGTGACCTGGCTATATATTTGTCACGCAATTCAAGGCATCGATGAAATTGCTGGAAGGTGTGTGCCATCTCGGGGGTCACAGAAGCTTGCACTATAATACGCCTCAGATATCACTGAGATCCAACAGAAGAAACTCCCACTTTGCACTTGTGCTTCGGTAGTCCACACTTTTTCTTCATCTTCAAGGAACGGAGAAGCGTCACTCTGGTCTTCGTGTTTGGGGGGTAGCAGAGCCTCGCGGATTGCTGACAACCCAAAGTTTCCCGTAACTGCCGGGGTGCCATCCGAGAGAGCGGTTGAAACATCAGACGTGCGCCGATGAGCCCATTTCTTCTCTTCCATCTGGTTATTAGCCAGTGTTACCGATCTACGTCTCATCGGGGTCGATTAACGTCGACGTACGTGCAATAGACTTTTTTCATCGTTGTAGCCATAAAAACCGTCTCTGGATTCCGGAACAATGAGTCCGGAGCTCGATTCGACGACGACGCTCGAGGTCGGGCTTTCGGGTGCACCATTAGTGACAATGACAGGCGTAATATCAGCCATATCTACGCGTTCTTGGGATGCGCAATACTATGTTTAAGATAGCAGCAGAACAAGATAGTTGCGTTTCTAAACTCGCCTCCCCTGCGAATCAGTGTCGATCATCTGTCACGTGCTGTACGAACTAAATAATTAAATTGAGATAACATTATTAATGCTATCCCAAAGATGCCTCGTGGTTTATCCACAATATTCAATCAGCTCTTCTTTTACGTCCATCATCGAGCTCATTGTTGGTGACACAAAATCGAGGTTCAAAAGAACCGTTGAGGACGGGCGCGACGATCAGCACGATGGGGAACACGACGTCCAGCACGAGTAATAGCCGACCATCACCCGGACCAACCAGGCGGATCGATTCACCTGGTCGCAGACAGCCCCAATCTCATTCACCTTCTCCTAATCCCAATCAACCGCACCGATCCTTGCGCACCAAGAAAAAATCCCTTGAGCTGCCAGATCTTGCCTTACTCTCTTTGACCCCTGCAAACTCACACCACAATTCTGCAAATTCATCACCCTTATCATCATACCGTCGGCCACCGAGAACCACTTCCCCAATCCCGATTCCGATTCCTGTTTCTAACAATGGCACCATGAATAACGCCTCAAATACCGGAACTTCTCCTCGTGGAAGGCAGCCTAATGTAAAAGCAAATACTACACGGGAAACCGATACGTCCAACTACTCGTCGGAGTTGCTGCTTGATCAGCCTCCGTCCACTCATATCCCAGTTCACAATCACCATCGTCCGCGTGGTGGTCCTTATTTTCGAGGCGCTCCCTTACAATATAACTCGACCCATTCGTTTGCTTCACGTGGGCAATCTGCCGCGCAACCCCGCATGCAAGAGTTATATGCGGAGAGCCAGATTGAAACATCCTCACAACCCGATCAACATGATTTCGTTCAGGAGACCGTTCATTCAACGATTCCCCTTGCACTACATAAAGCCGAGGAAGACTTTGCAGCCGCAATTAATGTTGGTCTAGAGGAAAATGGCCAGCCTATCCCCAATCGTCCTGCCCTTCCCTTTGACGAACCAAAAGAGCCGGTAAACGTCAAAATCTCCTGGCATGGTGGAGGGAAATCGGTTGTTCTCGCCCGCGCGGGTGACGATAATTGGAAGGGCCGTCAGCCAATGGAACCTGAGTGCGTACATATTTTACCGACTTATTCGTCATGCTGATCGCCAAATTAGTGATCCCCCAGCTGATGCTTCATGGTCTATTTGGGTAGCTCTCATGCCAGGCACACATCACATACGCTTCATCGTCGACGAACAGTGGCGTGTAGCAGATGACCTTCCGACCGCAGTCGATGATGAAGGCACTCTCGCGAACTATGTCGCGGTTCCGATTTCCGGCTTGACACCGCCTCATGCCACTGTCACGCCCGCCACACCTGCGAAACACCCCATCCACCCACATGTACATTCCTTTTGGTCAAGCACCACCTCCACCCATGGGTCCATGGCCGACGTGCCCTCCGCCTTGGATCCCATTGGATCATCATCTAAGTGGACGGATGACATTCCTGCCGAACTCGTTGCGGCCGCTCGCGAGGAAGAGGCTTATCTTGCATACACCGCCGCTGCAGAATATGATCAGTCAGGTTCCGTTAGCAGTCAACAATTACACGTCCCTGCGCCAAATATTCCTCCCGCTCCTGTTCTGCCCCGCCACCTTGATAAGCTGATCCTGAATGTCAAAGTCGGGCAGCTCCCGCCTTCGACAAGAGGCCGTGAGCGAGAGCGGGAGAGGGAACGTGAAAGGGAGCGCGAGCACAGGCGAAAGCAGGGCCGGTCACTACTCGGGATGACTAGCACTGTTGCGCGCGATATCCATAAAGAGGACAAGGCTGGGGAGGCTGAGCACCCGTCAATACCAATTACCACCGCAAGCGGAACAGATGTGACCACGGCTCACCTGGCAGCCCCCTCTCAAGCTCACACCCGCCTTGGGCTAGACGGACCGGGATTGACGGATGATGGAAGCGTTCTTCCCGTTCCGTCCCACGTGGTCCTCCATCACTTGAGTACGAGTGCGATACGCAACGGTGTGCTCGCTGTTGGGAACACGACGCGTTACCGCCAGAAGGTAATTATGCTTATTTCGTTGATCATTTGGTGTCGTTACTCACAGGCGATCGTAGTATCTCACGACAATATACTATAAGCCTACATGACGCGAACCAACGTTACCCACAGGACGATGGGAAGATTCGGCTAGACGCCACCGTTCGGAGACCTCATCTATAGGTTGACCATCTATTTATTCGTGCAACCAGTTCGCTGTTTCTGTGGGGAATCCCACCTTAGACTATCCATGATATATGTGGAATGGCCAGGAGTCCCGTCCCGCCCATTTGCCAACGTCATACGTGGTGACCATTCATCCACATGTTGAGCCCGCAAGAATTCGCGGAGTGCCCAGCTCATTCCGTTCGCACCAGGATATGCATGTCATGGTTGGCATTTGGTTTCATCGTGTACGCCATCCTTCTTCTATTTGTATGTGATTTCTTCAGACTGTCTTCTTTTTGTTTGCTCCACTTTTATGTTCTTCCACACACCCATGGACATGTTGATTGCGTACCTATCGACATGCATAGACTCCTACTCATCAAACCAAAATGTATCTTATGACATGTCTCGAATATATACGCAGATTGTATTTGCAGGACTTGATTGATTGATTCTTAATCACCCTCAAGAGCTGCGGAAGTCCATTCAAAATAAGAAAAACGAACAAAACAACTAGCCCACCGCGAGGGTCGAACTCGCAGCCTTCAGATAAACTCAGGCGTTTCAACCCGCCTTAAAAGTCTGACGCTCTGACCAATTGAGCTAGGCGGGCATATGGAAATTAGCTCCGCCGGAGCTTCTTAACGACGTGTTGAGGTTCTCCTTTATCCCTGGCTGCCAGTTGGCGGAATCCAGGTACCGCAATTGGAATAAGCAATCTTCAGCGTTTTCAAGTACTATGAGTCGTGCCACTGCCAGCGATGCGAAGCCCTGGAGAGGATGCGGACCTCCGGGGAAGTGGATTCAGGGCATTGAACCGTGCATAGAAAACGCGGGCCGTGAAATTTCGCTATATGATGTCAATGCATACAGACACAGCCCAGCGATTATCCAAGAGCGCCGGAGCGGCCTTCGCGGGAGGACGGGACGTGACCATCCTCGGAGCTTAGGTAGCGTAGTTGAAGTGTATTCTGAATACTATTCTGACGTGAGTTGAAAATCTAGGAGTAAAGTAAATACAGGAATCCTGACCTGGTGGTCAAACCCACGAAAGCTATCAAGCCATCGTTCTCCCAACCAACGCACACCTGAAAAGGCAGTTGTCTGGTTGGCTGGCCGTGCATCAATGCCTCCCGTGTCATTGGCGGCCCCCTTGCGATCGGAGAGCGCCGATCGCGAGGGAGCTTCTTTCCGAGTCATATTTTCTGTCGGAGATGACCTACTGGCCATCAAGATGAATAGAACGTTCGACCTAGAAATGTCGATAACTTCCCCGATCACCAGAATGGCGCTTTTTTGAAATCTGTCTTTGCCCCGTTGCGGTGCACTACCCTATGTGGGACAGAACTAACAGGATGGCATTGACCATGCACCCTCCCCAGGGCGTGGTCGAGGAGGTGCTGACAACGACGTCCTGCCGGATGAGTCTGGAGACGGGTTGCTAAAATCAGTCCCACGCTGTAAACTGACCTTGGGATGGCCACGCCTATGGTTGATAATTTGACTGTGCATAAAAATTTCGGCTTCTCCGATGTTCAGAAGCATGGCAACATAGCCTTAGCAGAAAGCGAACTTGAAGGCGCTGCTGCTGCGGGAGTGAATACACGGCAAGTATTTCATCCCTTGGCAAAGGGGCGGGTCAGGCCCTTTGACGCGGTAAGACACTCGTAGAGGATTCCTGTCCAGCTTGAATCTATGACTATTCTGTCTTAGAGGACTTCTATTAATTATGTGCCGGCCCCTGTTCACATCTGCTGACATTACTCACTGTGAAGAATTAAAGAGGTAATGGTGCGGCGCAATCTGAATTTCGAGCTGAGGTAATCATGAGGGCGCTTCAGCCGCCTCATACATTCGCTGGTGGCTGCGGGGGGTACGTGTGGTTGCGGAGACTTGATCCGGGTTCGCGGACGCTGGTCAGGTTTCCGTTCCGAGTCCGCCGGTCTCGTACTGGCCAAACAAAATTTTGTTCGCCTCAGCAGCCATGGGCAGACTTCTAAACATGCTGCTGCGCCGAATACTATGTACGAGACGTTAGGGGTGACACCCACTCCACATGCCGTTTGGGTGCGCGGGGCACGCGAGGACACAAAAATTTGAAATTGAAATCGCCCGCCGTTCACATTGTTTTGCAGGTGAGACTGATTTCTTCGAGGGACTAGCAGTACTAGTTATACCGTAAAAGGCAGAGGATATCACGGGGCTATTCAACAAGAGCACACTAGTACTGTTTGCGAGTAGGGGCGCGATGAATACACATGGCATGTTTCGGTGGTCGACGGGGATGCCTTTTCTGTCTCAGACCTTCGATGAGGAAGTAATCTTCAACGTCTTCAAGCTTGCCAATAAGTAGACTGTAGGGTTGCATGAGCCGTGCCATTGCCAGCGATGCGAAGCCCTGCTGGAGGATGCATCTCTGCCCGACCCTACGGGGTATGTGGATCTAGGGCATTGAATCCACTATAGAAAAACTCGAACTGGTAAATTTTTTCGCGATGTAGTGTCAATGCATACAGACCAAGCGATTATCCAACAGCCGCCGGAATAACCTTCGCGGGACGTGTCCATGATCCTAACGATAGCGTCCTCGAACCTGAAGCTTAGGTAGGCTTCGTAGTTGAGATGCATTCAGAATACTATTCTGACGTGAGTTGAACATCCAGGAGAAAAGTAAATACAGCCCTTGGGATCCCGACCTGGTGGTTGATCCCACGAAATCCACCCAGTCATCCCCCAACCAACGCACACCTGAAAAGGAGGTTTTGTCTGGTTGGTTGGCCGTATATTAATGTGTCCCGTGTCATCAGCAATCCCTTTGTGACCGGAGGGCACCGATTGCGAACGAGCTTCCTTCAAGTTCAGAGTCATTTTTTTTTAATATCGGAGATGGCCTACCATCAAGATGAATAAGAACGTTCGACCTAGAAACGTCGACAGCTTACTCGTTCACCAGGATGGTATTTTTTTTCGAATTCGTTTATGCCCCGTTGCGGTGCACTACCCTATGTAGGACATCAGACAACTTCCGGTTCGTGAGCGCATGTCGACTTTCGATTCCATTGCGCTTATCTTGTGTTAGTAAACATCATCTTGTTCGCCTCAGCAATCACGGGCAGAGCTTCTAAATATGCTTCCAAGTGCTGCGCCAAATGTCTACGAGGAGCCAGAGGTAACAGCCTCACCACATGCCGTTCGGGCGCCAAATCCAAATGCATGAGCGCCAAACGCGGAAACACGAAAGATCGAAATTGCCTGCGACTCACGTTATCTTGCAGGTGGGACTGATTTCTTCAAGAGTGACGTTCAGGCCCTAGCAGTGCGCACCGTAGATGTCGGAATTCAGGGGCTGTTCGACCAAGAGCATCTCTGGGGGCAGCAGCGCGATAGATCAGGGCATTTTACGGTGACCGACGGAGATGGACGCCTTCCATATCTCTTCCGAAGCTGCATTTTCCTGCCTATAGAAATGATTGTAGGATGAAAGGAGTGGCTCCCAGAAAGGATGTATACCTTTGGGAAGGTGTACTTTCGATGAGCGATACAGCATAACGGCAGCCTTGCCTGCATATATAAATCGTATATAGCGACAAAACATCATCACAGCCTACCTCGAACTAACACTACTCTCGATACTTCTTTGAGGATGCAAGGGACATCTGAAACGTATGAGGGAGAGCAGCCTTCAACTGTCAAAACGAAGAAGCAGGCTCAGCGGGAATACCGGTTGAAAGAGATCATCGGATTTGACGAGCTTCACCAAGCGCTCCAGGAAATCGATCCCACAGGTATCCCTGAGCGGGGAAACGTGACCCGACTCCAAGTTTTGACTAAAGGTTAGTTGGAGATCAGTACTTTCGAATAACAAACCCAATCTCATGGCGTAAAAATACTTAGCTACTGAGCAAATCAGACAACTCGCAAGCGAGAACAGGGACCTCTCACTACAAGTGCCTGCTCGTGACTACCGTGTCACGCCTATTGATCCAGGTGAGCAGTCTTTAAGAATAGTAAAGTGACCTCACCAACATTCGTCTCATGGTGAGCAGCCAATATGTGGTCAATCCAACCATGGGTGCATGCCCCCGCTCCTTTGTACGGCACCGCGCAGCCCGCGCCTGTTATGCCATCCAGCACCTCTTATTCACCACGCGTGTAAATTTGATTTGTGGTATTTAGGCATGGAGTTTGTGATTTTGGGTGAGTGGATCCCTTTTGTGAAAGGGGCGCTATGTTGACGGCCGCCAGTGCGACTTTTGCATCACGTCCAGGCAGTCAACTTGAACAGGCTTGAGTTGGGTGGAGTTTATCGTCGCTATAATCGCAATTGCCATATGTATGGAACGTAAGAGTCGATGTGGAATCATATTAGTATTGATGTTATCATAATACCCGGCATCTGCCGAAATGATGGGATGGCCCCGGCGTACTGCAGTTTGAACAATGAGCACTAGACATTTCCTAGATGCAGATCTGGACAGAAAAGCTCACGAGCGACCGAAAGCGGAACCTTAGATGGGCCTGCCAGTCTAGTTGTGATATCGATCGTCTCGAGCAGCCATATCACGCACGAGCACGGGAAGATGGATAGGGGGGTTAAACCAAAGTGAATATTCCTGTTCTCTAAATCTGGCGTTTTCGGCCTCCTGGAACTGGAGAACACAGAAACGCTTAATTCACCTCGTCGAGTAGAGTCAACGAAGCGAGCGCGACCCGGACTTGGTCGGAGATAGTACTGCAGTCGCTAGCTGGCAATCATTGATCACCAACCCATCACAATTGACAGGGGATCATCACGTCGGGTCACTAATTTTGTCTTAGGGATTGCCAGAAAGCATTCCCTGAGCATCACCGAACTGGCTCAACCCATAAATTATGGTTTTACGGTATGCTGGCATGTTCATGTACTGCCCTCCACCTACCGGTCCCACTGGGAATTGCGGCAACGTTCCCGATGCTTGCGTTATGTATTATGGAAGCCGAATAACGCTGGGTGTCTGGAGCCTGCTGCCAGTGCTGCCGAAGATGGGCTGTTCTTTTGTGATACGAGAAATGAGGCTTGCGGGACAGGTCAGCGCGCAGTCCTCGCATTATGGTAGCGGAGAAGATCGACGTGTGGTGTAAGGCGTCAAAAATAAACATTGGCACGTGTTCAAGGTCACTCACCCAACATCTCGTGAGACATGCGGCGATCTTGAGTCGATTACAGCGCAGAGCGCAGCGCGTTTTTAATACCGTTAATCGATGGAGCCAAAACACCTTGTACGCGTGGGCTACGACGCTCTCTCATTTTTATATCGACAAGATGATGACACTCCAATCAACCAAACGCAATGGGCGAATCAATTGGTGAATATCCTCTCTACCAAACCTGCACGTGTTCTGGATTTGGGATGCGGATGCGGCGTCCCTGTAGCACGGACACTCGCCTGTGCAGGACATCATGTAGTAGGAGTGGACATCAGTGCTGTGCAGGTCGCACGAGCAAAAGAACTTGTTCCCGAGGGGCAGTTTTTCCAAGCAGACATCACAGAGTTGGCTGCGGGGGCATGTGAAGCGGAGGTCCAAAGCGCCGTCTCGTCTGGAGAAAGATTTGACGCAGTGGTAGCACTGTAC